CTTTGTACATGAAACAGAGCTTATAGTGTCTTGACTGATGGCATCCCATTCTTGCCTCATCAGTGCTTGAAGTTGATCACAACTTGTGGGCTTCTGCTTATCCACATCCCAAACACTTGGAAGGTGTCTTCATCAGAGAAAATAACTTTGTGCCAGTCTTCTGCTGTCCAGTTCTTGTACTTCATGCAAAATTTCAGTCAGTCCTTAATGTTTTTCTTGGGGAGAAGTGGCTTATTTGCTGCCCTTCTGCCCTTCAATCCACTGTCCAAAAGTCACTGTGCATGTAGAAGCACTCACATCTTCCTGCTGCCAATCATGAGCAAGCTCTGCACTGGTGGCAACACGATTCCATAGCTGATTCCTCAAAAGCAGACAGTCTTGGCACATGCTGGACAGTCTTGGATGTCCTGAGGCTTTCTTTACCATAGCTGAAACTCTCTCTTTTCAAGTCAAGTCAAGTGTTTATTGTCATATGCACAGTGAGGGAATGCTTTTCCCTTTTCCCAATGGAATTCTTACTTTGCTGTCCGCATGAATGTCACAAAATATAAATGAAATATAAAGTAGATACGTAGGTAACACAAATCTAAATCTAAATCACAAAATCTAAGACACTTTAAAACATCCAATGATAAATTGGTCAACATTTCATTTTGTCAAATAATTTGGTTTATAACAAAATCTCTGCAAAACTACAGCTACATAAACCTGTTGATTGTGTTTCACTAAAATTTCTAAGCTCATCTATCTTTTTCACTATAAAATAAAAGCTGACAAGATCACATTATAGGACACTAAGTGAATAATCTGAACATGGATGAAATCAGGTTTTGAGAAGTTTTTCTATGATGAAAAATGAATACTGACAAACCTCAACAACAAGCATTTTTTTGACAAAGGGGAGATTAATTAAATATTCATCTAGACTTGAGTTGCAGAGGCAGAACAGAGGCTACTCCAAACATGACGTCAGGAATTTAACTATCACACACCTGCATTTAAGAAGAGACTGTTCTCTAACATCTAAACTCAGAACTCAGCGGTGTGTAACATTCAGGGAAATGGACACACTGACAAACAGCGAACATTTCAACTTTTTTAGAGCATTGCATCCTGCTCTCTAAATACTGTTCATCAGTCTGAAGGTTTTGTTTTGGAGAATTATTTTAAAATGAGCAATACATCTAATATAGTAGTATTTTCACTGTCTGGCTTCAATGCAACAGTCTACAGAGTCACACTTTTCTCTCTCACTTTATTAAGTTACTGTGTCATTCTGGTCATAAATGTGTCTCTCATTTTAACCATTACACTGGATGAAAACCTCCATGAACCTATGTACATCTGTTTGTGTAACCTGTTTATTAATGAACTTTATGGGACTGCAGGTTTTTACCCTAAATTTGCTTTTGATCTTCTGTCTGATGTTCATGTAATATCATATATTGGATGCCTTTTGCAAATCTTTGTTATTTACTCTTATTTATTGGTTGACTACTCTGCTTTAGCTCTGATGGCTTATGACAGATATGTGGCCATATGTCGACCACTGGAGTATCACTCTGTAATGTCAGTGAGAAGGACTGCTGTGTTAGTTGCTTTGTCCTGGCTTGTACCGTTGTGCTGTGCAATTATCAGTGTAACTTTGACATCCACATTGCAGTTATGTGGCTCACACATAGAGAAACTCTACTGTGAGAATTGGGCAATTGTTAAACTTGCTTGTAGTTCAACCAAGGCTATTGACATTTTTGGATTGATTGTTATGACCTTCTATATAGGGCACTTCCTCTTCATTTTAGGTTCATATGTGCAGTTGGTAAAATCAGCTTTAAAATCCAGAGAGGGCAGGAGAAAGTTTACACAGACATGTGTGCCACATTTATTGTGTTTGTTTAATGTTTCGGCTTCTTTACTTTTTGATGTCATGTACTCGAGGTATGGATCAGCAGCTGTGCCACAGAGTGTAAACAACTTCATGGCCATACAGTTTCTCCTGATCCCAGCTATAGTGAACCCTATAATTTATGGGCTGATCCTGACTAAAATTTGAGGTAGAATGATATTAATGTCCATGATGATAAATCAAAGGTTTAAATTGGGACTAAAGGTATGATATACATATAACAAGTCCAGAATCACTCTGGATAAACAGATGAGTGTTTGGTTGATGTGATTATCCTGCTGCACCTCCTCTGTCAGGCTGTTGATCTGAAAGACAAAATTATATACAGTGTCGTGGCTAGAGTGGTAATGCCGACAATTAATTCAGACAAACCATTACAATTTAAAGGATCATTTAATATTACAATTATTCTGAATAGCGTAGTATTTAAACACATAATCTTGTAGTTAGGGAACAGAGATCAGAGACTCTCTTCTTGCAATGGAATAGATAAAGCCTAAGAGAATTGTCAAAAGCACCAGTCAGTCGTCATCTACCCCCGGCCCTGCGAGGCCGGGCTTGTGGTACACTGTTCACGGTAGCATGGTCATCCTCTCTCTCCCAGGCTCACTCTTTTATCAGCAGCTTCCCTTAAACTATGCTAATAAGTATTAACTATATTAAGTTTGCTTTTACCACTCTGAGATGTACTTCGAAAACAGGAAACATCTTGACCACTTACATAAGCCCACTGTCCAACTCACATGAACTTAATGAACCCATAACCACTCAGCTCTCCCTCACACAAGCTAATAACAAATAATGTCTATATGAACTACATGTTCTATTACATATTACTTCTGGACTCTGGTTTATTGCTAACCACCACAACAGCTACATACAGTATAACTGGACATGAGTTTACTTACATTTCTAAGCTCAATTACAGTGTATTCGGCCCACACAGAAACATGGACTTTTATTCATTTACTTTTACTGTTCTTGCGGCAGACCAATAAGTGGAGAGAACATTCTCGTTTAGTTTTACGCGATGTGTTTTGGTGCGCTTGGATCTTTCTGTGTGTGA